GAGAGGGAGAGGGAGAGAGAGGGAGGGAGAGAGGGAAGACGATACACCACTTGTTCCGCTCCTCTGACCTCGCCGGTGCCCCTGCCACTAAGTGCGACAAAGCTCACGGAGACACCAAGCCGAGAACAGCTGGCACCCGCGGGCAAAATGCCCCCTCCACAGCAGCCGTAGCTGTGACACACCACAGATTGGATTGGGATTCGGCACCATCAAGCACACCAAGGCTGGCACAAGGGGGGCTCAGGGACGCGCTGTTGCGGGTTGAATCGAGGGCACATGGAGCCGAATCCCACGCAGCTTTCACCCCGAAGGACGGACATGAGACCTCGGCGTAGCGCGAGAGCGCAGGGGTAAGGTCCCCCGGGCCCCGCTTCAAACGTCGTGCAAGCAAGCAAGCAAGATCAAGCAAGAGGGAAGATGGCCGACAAACTGGTCCGCATCGTTGACAAGTACCTCCCGAGACAAGCAGAGGAAGCCCGTATATACGTGGGACGCTTCCCCCACCACACGAAAAAGCTCCTACGACAAGCAAGGCGCGTTCGCAACACAGTGCGAGCAAGACAGGGGGGAACCCACGCAGCCACCGACGTCACACCCACATCACAACAGCTTTGAGGACATTTACGACACCTGCAAAAAGGCTGGGGGGATGTGACCCCAAAGCAAGCCAATGAAGACGGAGACCAGCAGAGCACAAAGTTGCGGGGGACCGAGAGCTTTTGTCAAGCAGAGTATGAACAAGCACAGCATGCGACAACGGAGCACAGTGATGCACGAGAGCATCGTGTGAAAAGGAAGAAGCAGTTACAGTTGAGGACACTCCTCCTGATTGGGGGGAAGCAGAGAAGACGGCGAAATGGAGACCCAAGAAATTCCGAGTCTTGACAGCAGTTGCAGTTGGCCGTGGGGAGCTGGCCCAGCGCCCCAATGAACCGTCAGGGGAACCGCGGCGGCGTGAGCAACAAGACTACAACGAGGACCGCGACGCTGGAAGGGGGATACAACTTGTCCCCAGTCGCATGTGGCAGAACATACAGCAGATACAAGCGCATATGGCGCGCAGCCGTGAAGACAAAGGGGGACTGCATGGCCCCGGCAAACGACAGTGAGTGAGGGGAATACATCCCAAATGCATTTTTGTCTTTAGCTGGGGAGAACTTCCCCATCCTGGAGACCGTGTTCTCACTTCGAAAAGGTTCTGAATGGCAACTTTCTGAGGGGGATTCTTGTAAGGTGTGAATTTTTTGTACGGGCCATAATGCCCTTCCTCACTCAACCCCATGGCAAATGGGCCACTTAGCCCACAATTCTAGTTCTTTTCAACTCACCTTTCATACTCTGACTTCGCCTTGCCAACGAGGGAATTCGGGGGGACAGCTACGGCTTTAATTAGAGACTCTATTCGACTCGACGGTGATCCGATGCTCTTGCTCAAAGCAGCGGGGAGCAAAGCACGCTTTTGCCTTACGACCCCAGTCATCTGGACTCCCTCTGCAGGTAATCGGGACCCTGCCGCCTTAGTATCTCATACTCCTCGATTACCCTTTGCTATTTCAGCTGCTGTTGGGTATCAGTCGGGGGAGTCCCTTTTTTACCAAACAGCCTTTGCACACACGCTTTACTTTGGTCGGCGCCTTAGTTACGTGAGGTTTGTGTGGCAGCCTAGCATGATGTGGCAACTGGCAGTTCATACAACGTGCAGGCGGGATGTCCTCAGTATACCCGAGCCCCTCTGCGGCAAAACTGCGAGGGGGAAACCAAGGACGCCCGTGACACGCGGGCGCGCCCTCGCGCGCGATGGGTCGGGGCTGAACGCTCCCCGGCTCCTTTTTCCCCGGAGAGAGAGAGAGAGAGATAGATAGGGGGACAAACAGACTCCCGCCCTGAAGTAGAACTGGTACGTACAGTAGACTCCCCGAAAGCCCCACACAAGAGGTACGGGGGGCCCTATGGGCCGGGGAGCTTCGCACGCTCCCTTTACCTGAAGGAAGAAGAAGATAGATAGATAGATAGATAGATAGATAGATAGATAGATAGATAGAGTGTTTTTGCATTGTGTCTTTGTTGGTGCGGTTTTTCAAACTCTACAGTACAACAAAGGGGTGCATCCAGCTAACAGCCCATGTATAGCCAAGCCACGGGGGGAAACCTCCCTGGTGGAAACTTCAAAACCCTGCAATGAACTCGGGTGCACGTGTGCGCGCAAGCGAGGGGCATCTGCCTTCTTCCTTTGCCCCGAGAGAGAGAGCGAGAGAGATAGATAGATAGATAAATAAAGAGGGAGAGAGAGAGAGCTAGAAGGGACACCCGAAGTACTTTAACAGGGCTTGGTGCCGAAAACAATTTGCACCCTGTTTTGGCTGATGGCACTGACACTTTCTCTAGCTCTAATGGTGTGCCAACAAGTTACGGTACCACCCTGAGACGACCCGGCAATGACCGGGACACACACACACACAGTTGTTGAAAACAACGAGTGGAACAGGGATTTATGGGGAGCACAACGAGGCAGGGACGACTTTACCTGAACAAGGGGCTTAGGAGCTATTTTTGAGGAAAGGGGACAAAGCCTCGCCCACGTGAGTCCAAACCAAAATGTCACACAGACCGGACACGGAAACAGGCGTAGCACTGTGAGCAGGGCTGCAGGGGTTTACCCTTGTGCCCCAAACGCCCCGGAGGGAAGGAGGGAGGGAGGGAGGGAGGGACGGAGGGAGACAGGGAGGAGATTTGCGGGTGTTGTTCCAGGTTTCGTCCAGCAGATGCGGCATGGGCACGCGAAAGGGAGGCATGTCGGAGTGACTGAAGTGCCTCATGATGTTGATGCAGCAATAGCGTCATGTTCCGCTTAGTCTAACATGTAGGGTCAATATGAACGATGGACCAGGCATTGGTGCAAGTGTGAGTGACATGGTGTGTTTGTGCTTATTCTGAATTTGCAAGTCTCACCTTGGTACTTGACTTTTGTATCGCCGTGAAAGCCTTGGAAAGCAATGGTGCGTGCCTATCAGTGTACCGTTGGGCGCGATTTTGCAGCTCGCAGAGGACCCATTGGTGATCAAAGCCTCCGGGGGGCAGCTTCAGAGGGTTTTGTGTTTTTAAAGGAGCAGTGGCTAGCAAAATCATGATGCTGCAATGCCGAAAGCCGCACCGGTCATCCATGTGTGATGGCCTGTCCAGACATCCGACCACAGCTGTTCCGGCTCTGGGTAAGTCCTAGAAAGCTGAGCAGGGCCCTGTGCAGGGCCATAGCTGGTGGCCCAGAGTCATGATGCGTTTGGGAGCATGTCGGTGACAGGGTAATCGCATGTGCGAGGTTGAAACAAGCCGGCAACATCAGCGCGAGTTGCCAAAGTGTCGTCGTTGGGAACTTGTGGTAGGACACTAGGGCACTGCCATGCTGACACCATTTCCTGATACGTCTCAGGTCTCAATCGGTGCGGAAGCGTCATGCATATGAATGGACAGCCGATGGTGCGGTCGACATATTCCGTTAGCTTCCTGTGCCCATATAGTGGTGCAGAGAGCTTGACTTGTTGCGTGTCAGGGCTATGCTGGACCTCCTTTCGGACAGCCGGCAGGCCAATTTACTATCTACCGGGAGCGTTGCTTTGACCAAGGAGTCCCATGCAGCCGTGCAGGCTACATGCCTGTAGCTCCAGCTGGGGATGAGTACGGGCCGCCGCAGCCAAGCTACTTGGGGTGCGGGCTGCACTTCGTTTTGATAGTGCCAGAGTTTTGTCGTAGGCAGCGTGTGACCAGGCCCTCTGAAGGCCAGCCCAGTCCCGGGATGGAAGGCTGGATCTTTGCTGCACATTTGGGGACGGAAGCTCAAACATGTGTGAGGCAGCCCCAGCTCCTCTTACGGAGCAAGTCCTGATGGCTCGTGCTTGTCCCAGCTGGCCCGAGACGGGTTTGCAATGCAGTGTGCGATGTCTGACATCGCGCACTTGTGAGGTATGGAGACATGAGCTCAGGCCAGGCCCCGGCCTCTGAACGTTCTTTGGAGCATGGCATCGGCCGACAGGGATGGTCGGGGACATGCACTACCAGCAGTTTACAGAGGGTGCGGGCAAGACGAGTGCCTCCGGAAGCCGGGCGCTCTGAACTCTGACCTCTGCGTGCCGCGCTCTCTTTCGCTGCTCCCCCGGAGGTCCCAAGGACAGCCTCCAAAAAGCAGATCCTGATTCTGGAGTTGGCCCCAGAAGATGCACAGATCTTGTTTGCTGGAGCCTAAACTCTTTGCTCTTGCCAACACCGCTCTGGAGTTGGGGACCATCGTCCCAATCTTGGTGCGAATCGCAACTAAGGTGTGCTGTTGTTCATCCTCTATTTGGTTGCCATGCTGATTTTTCTGACTGTGGTCAAGAATGGAAGCGTTGTCGACGACTCAGTTGCACGGTTGATCTGATTTGTTTGTGTACAATCAATCTTCGCAACAAGGACGGACGTGCCTATTCGGATGTTCGCCGACTGACGCATGGAATGGACTTCGAGGTTCGGAAATTGAAGAGGTACAGGGGTACAGCCTCAGGGTAGCTGCAAAGAGGAGTTCATGTTCCTTGCAGGCTCGTTTATGCGGGGTCGACGATGGTGTGGAGGCTTCACCTATTCCGTAGCCGTAGCTAGGGACCAGCGGAGGTTATGACCTCGAAAGGAGAAGCCCTTCGTGTTTTGGTGTCGAGACGACCCCTCGGAGAGGGAGTTCAACACCACCCCAGCGACGTGCGCCTGCCAAGACTTCAGCCGGGCGTGGAGGTCATTCTGACGCAGATTCAAAGCGTGAGGTTGAACCTGAAGCATCCTGTTTGCATTCAAGAATGTCCTCGGCTGTCTGCGGGTTCGCAGTCGGGCGCTGAGTGGCATGCAGCACGGCCAGGAATCTCCAGCAGAAGCCATATTCCCAGGGTTTTGGTGTTGTCCACGGCTTCGAATGTCAAGACATGTCTAGACAGTATAGTCAATGAGGAAATCTTTTCGACAGCGTTGGCTTGATTGCGCTTCATACTATGCGAGTTTTTTGGATCTTGTCTTGTGACCTTGAAAGCTTAAAGGCTTGAAGCGGCACAGCATATCTCAGGTGTGTCATGTCAGAGGCTTGACATGTGCTGCGCATGTAGGTCACTACGGACACCAAAGATGTACAAAAACCCAAATATCTCCTTCGGAAAATGAGTTGGTGAATCTGGCATTCGCGTTACTTCTGACGTCCCTGCGGGGATGTCGTTGCGATTTCTGGCCAGCAGTTCGATATTTTTGTAAACATTTTCGGGCATGGGCGCAGAAACTGTGCAGGAAGGCCCTCACCCTCCTTGTGTGTCTTTGCTTGGAAGCTTGACAATTCCTCGCTGGCGACGCATCATCCATGCATAGTTTCAACCCGCCCTGGAAACATGTCAGCTATTTTTTTGTGAGACTGGGAAAGCCGCACCTTTGCTGTTGCTTTGGGAAGGTTGTGTGACAAAGACAAATTGATCATGAAACTTGTCGCGGGGGCTTGGTGCACACCGGTTGCTGGTCTTGAAGTGCCTAGCCTAAGTTCAATTGGAGCTGTTAGGGTAAATCGTGGTTATTCACATGCAGCGGTAGCGCACGTGGTGCCATTATGTTGTCAATTGATAGTGCATGTGCTGGGGAAGAACTGCATAGACCGATTACCCAATCCGGAATCAGAAATGGGAAGCGGCAGACTTCAGAACAGAACAGGAATGCAGATTGCCCGAGCAGCCGAACGATCCCGAGCCTTCGGGAGCCTTTAGGAGGCCCAAGCGGGCTTTGCGCAAAGACAAGCACTTCTAAGTGCATTACAGTCACTGTTTTACTACGCCAATGGTGCCGTTATAGGTTGATTTAGGTCAGTATCCGTTCATGTAGTCACAGCTTTTCACAGTAATTTCACATAGTTTCAAAATTTGACTTACGGTGCGGAACACTTACGTTCACGGCCGCCGCGCGCGAGAACATGGAAGCAGCCTCGACCCCTTCGCTTGCCCCAAGTGCGCCCACTGACCCGGGGACCGCCGCCGCGGATGCCGTGTAAGCTCCAGAAGCATCAGAGGTAGCAAAGGTTGATCCCGTTATCGTGCATAGAGCTCATAGCACTCCTATATACGACCGAGTTTGCGTCTTCAGAACCTCCAGGATGGTACGTTTCGGATTGGTTCAGAGAGCTCCATTCAGGCTATCGACAAGACTGTGTACGACGTGTACGACTCTTCATGTCAGCAGTAGCTTGTGCAACAGCAAGCTTCCAACCGCTCCATAGATAGTGCTACGACAGGCAGAATTAGGCAGCACAGTCGCCAAGCCATAGCCAAAGACGACGACATGGACCCCCAACTAGCTCAGCGCCTTCAAAGTGGCCCTAAGGCTCTCCGCACCTTTAAGTTGATGAACAAGCCGCCAGAACAAGCCAAGCTAGATACAACAACCACGCAGTTTGCAATGTCTACGGATGTACCTCTCCCCAGTGGAGCCTAGCTTCCCAACGCCCTCCGGATATTACTAAGACTAGTCTCAAGGCCGCCAGTGAAGAATATCAGAATCAGTGGGTAACTCCGGCTCTCCAGGAATTTCATAACCAGTTCCAACACCAAGTTGAAGCCAAACACAACAGCCTAGCAGCATCTCACGCTCTGACCAGCTTCTCCAAACATACAGTCGCCACAGAAATGCATAAGAGAACAATGATCATTCATGACATTCTCCTCTGGTTTGTAAGAAAGCCATAGACGAGAAGACGTGGTATGTTTTGGGATTATGTGACCCTAAGCTAGATGCGGACGCCCAAAGTATTACCAAACGGTTGGAAAGACAATCCCTCCTAACCCCTCCTTGCCTTGGTAGACCTTTATACAAAGGAGCCAACGGATTCTGGATCGCCGCTCTTCTCCACTTATCTTCAAGCCGAATGAATGCCCTACAGCCCTGGACCTCCAGTGTGTCCTGTTTGTTAGCGTTGCTCCTCCAGCATAGGACCTATGTTTTAGCCCACCTACCCAGGTACTTTATCGACCGAATGACCCAAACTCTTAGGTTGTTGCATGCTTATCAGAATTCAGTTCGCCGCAACAACACCACAGCCGGTTTCCACCACTCACAGCACCAAGACATTGACATTTCCAAAACTTCCATTGCTGATGCTCTCAGTCTTTTCCCCTCGAGGTTTTCCCTGTAGATCTAGATGCAAACTTGCAGCAAACTCTCCAATCCAACCCCGGTAGCCTATTGGCCTCCTTTCAAGGCATGCAACCCCTGCCCCAACAAGCAATGCAGCATAACATCATCGATCCCACTGAGTATGGTAAAGGTGCCTGCCGCTTCGCTCGAGGAGACAAAGGAAAGGGCACAGGATAGAGGCGTAGTGGCAAATGCTCCGATTGTACCAAAGGAAACGCAATGAGTCCCCAACTTCCAAAAGCAAAATCAAACGCTCCACACAAGACCAGGATTGGTCTCAAGATTGGTCATGGCCCCAAGATAGGCACTCCAGAACCGAAGGCCCCACAGCGGGCTCCAACTTTAATGTTCCCCACGACCATTCCTGGACGTTTCGACCTTCCCATGATGCGGGTGGTTCCCAGATCGCCAGGATCGCCGCAAGGGTGATCCTCCTCCTTCCAGAGCACGCGGTCGCGGCCGCAACCGGGATCCGGATTACCCCAGCTGCATGCAAAGAGGGCCTGACTCCGAATAGTTAGTCCCCTGTGCAGAATGTATGTGTGTCCTTGGTTATTACGAATAGCTAATAGCCGTTGTGACAACTGTTGGCATCCTGGGCTCCAACAACTTAGATTCTCTCCAGTCCCTGCGTCGTTACGCCAATTTGCCTATGTTTGATCAGCCCATGGTCCCGGGGTGCCCCTGCCCGCGTCTCCTGTCTGCCAATCGGTTGGAAAAAGATCGCAAATCCGCTCCCCAATGACCCCATTTAGATAGCTCCCCTGGCCCAAAGGACAGACCAAATTTAAGATGCCGAACAAATGGTATTTCAACTCCAAAAACCCTGTGCAAATATGTCCTACCAGCTAGAACTTAGCCATGTGCACGAACCGAGTTTCTTGTTGAGCGTTATTTTCAGAGCTTATGGGGGCGTTCCCCCTGGATGGTTCGACTCCTTTGAGTTAGCGGGCCCCAGCCTTGTCGAGAACATAGATCCCACCTCCCTTTTCGCCAGTCATACGGGAAAACCTTCAAACTTAGAGAAGTCTCCCTTGCCTGGACCCCAGCAGCCGTAGACTAAATAGTATATGATACGCTATCGGACCCCGATGAGTATCTATTCGGTCAGTTCATGACGTACCAAATGGAACCCATCCGCGGGCTCCGCCCACTTTCGCACACCCTGCCTCCCCAAGGGAAGATCAGGTAGAAGACTCACTAGAAGATCGCCCCACGGGCACATCGTCTTTTACAAAAATTAAAAAACGTAAAACTAAAAAGAATCTTAATTCACAATTAAACCGGAATTCGTCATGCCGAACACCGCCTCCCAGAGGCGCGCCGGGAGTTTCCTTGGGGGCGAGCGAAGAGTGTTCCCCACCCAGGGAAGGGACCACAACCCAAGCCGGGGGAGTCACGGGACGGCGGGCGCGGCGATGAGCCTACCGGAAGTGGCGCAGGCAGGGTAAAAATGAAAGGGAAACGGGGATGGGTTCCCCGCTCCTTGTCCCGACCCAACCCCAACAAGCCGCTCAAACCAGGGCACAGTGGTTCAAGCACACCCTGTTTTGGCAAGAACAGCACAAACGCAAAAAGGCGAGAAGGGTTACCAACTACCCGACCACACCGCCTTTAGGTTATGACAAGAAAGTTAAGATAGGATCGCTTAACGTGCAGGGTTGCGCTGATACGCTTAAGTTGAAGAACTCTCTCCAACTTATGCAGGAACACAATCTTGATATTTTGTTCCTTAGCGAGACTAGAGCCACGTCCTATTATTCATACTTGTCAGAAAACCACTTGATGGTGTTATCAGGTAACACTAGAGAGAAGCATGCGGGAGTAGGAGCAATCATTGCACCACATATCAGACCACACCTCCTTAACATCATTCAACTCAGTTCTCGCATCATCCACATCACTTTCAAAAAGCAGGGAGGTAATCTCCATTTTGTCGGAGTTTATGCCCCACATTCGGGACTGGATCATGAGACCATTAGAGAACCGTTTTGGGATCAACTTGAGTCGCACATCAATAACATCCCCGCCCCAGAGCCAGTTTATATTACGGGTGACTTTGATGTTCGGTTCCAGGCTTCACATAAGAACGACGAGGGAGTTACGGGTAAATACACCTATGGCAAGGGCCCCAGATGCATTGACCACAACGCCACCTCGAACCGATCCCTATGCGTTCGAACAATGTCCCGTTTAGGCATTTAGGCATGATTGAGGCTGCCTCCCACATCACACAAAATCCCATTGACCACATTACTTACAGGGACAAAGCTGCACCTCCTAGTGATCGGTCCCAATTCGCTCTTGACCCCATTCCCCTGCAGCAAATTTACTCGGTAATGCACCACAAACTCTCATCGTTTGCATTAGAGGGTGCAGCTTTAGTTAGATCATACCTTGATCTCCCTGAACTTTTGCAGCCCCCTAAGTCCATCCCCCACATCGACCCCACCAGGTTTCAGAGACTGGACCACTTCTTCACCAGGAAGCAGTGGCTCAACTCGGTTCACAAATGCAGGTCTAAGCTGTACACCGGGTTTCCTTCAGACCATTTCTTACTTGTTTCGGAAGTTCAGGTCAGGCTAGCGGCGCGCTCCCCCAAGCCACCACAACGCCCCAGGCTCGATATTAGCAAGGTCCTCCCAGAACAAAAATTGCAATTTAACCA